TCGCGCTAGTTTGACACGTCTTCGAATATCATCAACATGCATTCTCTGTCAACATTCATGTAACATTACTATTTTAGAATACACTTAGTTCAAAATAACGTTGTCATTGCCAAAGGCGATAGGCGGATAGGTCATTCTGACATGGAATTGTTTTCTTTAAATACAAAGAACAKAATCAGTCTCAGCACGAAGGACCATACTCTTGACGAGAATAATAAACAGAAACACATGTCATTCCAGCTATTCTTGGATCTTGGAATGACATATATCCTATCGCTTTTCGCCTATCGCCTATTGACTATCGCCTTTGGCGGTGACAAAGTTTTTGAATTAGTTGTATACCAACTTCAGTGCCAAACTCGAAGACTCGCGCCTCTTATTATTCCACCGATATTCAAATTGTTAGATATTCACTAGTAAGATAGTAGTTAATAATATATTATGAAGCTGTTTAAAATTTATTGATATTAAAATCTCTGCCCAAAACAATTATATTACCACCCTTTATTATCAATTGCAAAGCAATTATTTTCTGTGTGTGTGTGTGTTTTTTTTGTGTGTGTTTTTTTTAGTTCAACTCGTACTTCTATCCGAATGTTTCTTTCCCATGATAAAACAACTGTCACTTCTTTAAAAAAATCATTTATCACTAGATACAGTGTACTAAGTACTAAGTACAGTGTGTTTTAGCCAAAGCCTTGTCGAAGACCATTAAAGCCTTCATGGCATAAACAATACATAATTGAATATGACAGAAGTTTCAACTTCACAAAAATTGAGCTAAATTTATTTTACAAGAGCTTAAAGAGTAGTACCCCATTCACACATAAACGTGTTTAGTTAAACTGTGTTTTCATTAGGAAAAAAATTGAGAAACTAGAAACCTACAATATAATGAAGCTTTCTAAAATATTATCAGAGCAAGACATAGGATAGCTTACATGCATTATTTTACCAAATATTGTGCAGTGTTCGTTGATAGTTTTCCAAACCTTTTTAGTTAAACCACTTTAAAACATGTTTAAGCCTTGGCGTGAATGGAGTATAGGATTTTTTCTTCACAAATGTTTTCTAAGTCATCAGTAATAGAGTCCAAAAATGCTTATAATTTCTGAAAATGTTTTAAGAGTGAATGACGTTCCATTAACCCACGGAGGTTTCTAGTTTACCCTTCCCAAAATTTTAAGAGGAAAAACAATTGGTCATATGAAGTATTTTTTACTAGTTTTAGAATGTCCACCTCAGTGACATAAAAATCACTTATGATATCTATGAAGAGGCGGGGTACGGGCTTTATCTTCCCCTTTYGCTCACCAATCTGAAGAAAAGTTTTAAGAATTTTACAAAAAAAATACCTATGAAAGTAAAATAACTAACCTGATGCTTGGTCGAGGWGATTTGTTTGAATCCGATTCTAATGTCGCAATTCAAAATAATCTTCCAATCAATTTAACAACAACAATAATATTCAAAAGGAAGTAGGTAGTTGGAGAAAAAGAAACTCGAAATTTAAAAACTTTTAGGATTAAAAAAAATTGATTTTGTGCAAATCCATTAATATCTCAACGGACTGAGTAAGAACACGAAGGTGAACACATTGAAAGAACGTTGACCGCACCTAGCGACTATCGAAGTCGCATGCGATTTAGCAGCCCCTAAGGAGGCTTGGAAAGGAGGCCACATGCGATTATGCGCACGCGCATTATAGATCACACCACACATTATCGCCGAAACGTTTTCAGATAAAGTAATGAATGTTTTGAAATTTTCTTCTGGAATTTTAATAGCCTTTGGATTTTTTTATTTCTCGTCCTGTCTTTACGCTTAGTCCAAATTTTTATTCAAAATTATCGTTTATTCTCTAAATAGGTCTAATTTTACTCTATAATATCAATAGCTGAGCCTAGTTCTTGGAGCATACATATGTAAATCCTTTTTCAAAATGAAAAACAAAATGCTTAGGATGAACGAAATTCTCGCTTGAGTGGCTGAAGGCTATCGTGTATTTGTCCTGATACGTACCACCCTTTGGGCTTCATAAGAATAAAATAAATTAAGGATTTATATACAAAGAAATATATGTAGCAATGTTTGATGTTAAGTGTATGACGTCACAGACTCCAAAAAATAATCGTAAAAATATCATACTTTCGTCCTGAATATCGAAAAAACACTTCATACAGTGATTATTAGACATTTAAAGAGTATTTTTAGAAAGTTTCAGCTGAATCCAAGTTTGAGCGATTTTCGTCGTAGTAGCACTTTAAGATGTCTTGTCTGGAGGCTAGTTACTGGTATCTTATCAGATAACTCACTTATTTCAAGTTTTCAAGTGCTATGTCATCAACAACTCAAACATATATCAAGATTTTTTTTTCCTTTACTACTCTGATTAACGTTTCTTGGGGCTGCTACTGAACTTCAGTTCAGGTTACTAGTAAATTGGTGGCTTACCTCACTTGGGTTCAACTTCGTAAGCTGATTCCACTACTTTGAWTATTTTCGTGTTTCGATCGTGTACACCTTGAAACTGCACAGACCCGGCGTGATGGTTCTCAGTGTTATATATGAGTAGTTCTTTAGGCACGAATTTAAATTGTCGTTTATGAGTTGCCGGAGGACTTGAAATTATGAATATAGCACAGAGACACTAGTCTGAAAATAAACGGGGGAAAATTGAATGACAATTAATACATTAGACTGGCGACAATGCCATTATTAATAATTGATTGTGAACAGTATTCTAAAGATATACTATAACTTAACAACACGAGTAAGAATAGCAATTGTAAAGATAGCCTATCAGTACGAATTTAAATTTTAGGAAAGAGAAAAAATATAACGTCGACGACATCGAAGAGGATGACAAACAGATGAAGATTAATAACGTTACATTATTCTGAGATAGAGAACCAATGGAAACACGCCATATCAGAAGCCATATATAAACTATGGTATATAGTAAATAGGTTATAGTACAGAACGGTTTAGGAATTTGAAAATAACAACGACAACAGCATCAATGTCAATTTAATTTTTACAATGACTTACAAATTTCTCGCGCGCTGATTGGTTATTTTTTTATCATCAATAAGAGGACAGACAGATAAAGCTGACGCCAACGAGCGCGCGCTCTTTCCGTCGGTTGTTTTGATCGCTAAAAAAGAGAAGTTTTTATCGTTTTTGTTATTGTAAGAAACAATTAGACATCAGTTTTTCATGTGTCTGTCCTCTTATTGACGATAAATGTCGTCGTCACATTGTCAAAGTTGTATGCGGATCCACACTACTTTGACGATGTGATGACGGGATTTATCGTCAATAAGAGGACAGACACATAAAAAACTGATGTAGTATTTGTTAAATATACAGCTAGAGACTGTTCTTTTGGCCATGGGTATATAGTCATTAGAGAAATTGTTTTGTGAAAAAAGAAAATTGGAAGAAAGAGGRAAAAAAAAAGTAATATATTCGTTTTCCTTGAGAATGGGATCTTCGGTTCTTTTTTTATAATTATCAAACCAAAACTTGGTAGAATCTAACAGCCAGTATATCATTAGCCATCAATCTTTCTGACACTATCATAACATAACAGCACTATTTTAAAAATGTATTCACTCGAGGCGCAAGTATTAGCTCAGTGTTTTGTTCCGTGGCGCGTCCTGTAGTCGATGACGAGCCATACTGAGAATAGAATACTGTCAAATGATCTGATAAACACGATTCCTTGTTGTCTATAATTTCGAGGTATTGACACATTCAAATAGTCCATTATTATCTCAAGTCGTCATTTCCCCCCAAAACGCTGTCACTTTGACATGCGATGACAATATAGGCTTTGCACCTATACGTTGCATGACAGTTGATGTGAACAGATGTTGGTTAATGGCAGATGGAAAGAGAGGAGTAACGGGTAAAAAACAGAAAAGAAAAGAAAAGAAGGAAAGGGAAAGAATGGAGAGAGAATTAAAGGAAAGGAATGGAATAGAATATACTGAGAAAAGGAAAGGAATAAAAAGAATGTAAGAGCATGAAGAGACTGGAAATAAAGGAAGACAATGGAGAAGAAAGGAATGGAATAGAAAGGGAGGAAAAAGATCGAAAAAGAATGAAATGGAATGAAAGGAAAATGATGAAATTTGCACTTATTTAGCAGCTTGAAGGTAACTCTGACAGTCACGTTTCGTATGATCAGATCCCTCATATATTATTCAATCCTTCAAAAATATTGCAGTGTTTCTTCTATAAATATACAACTGGCTAGTCTAATCAATTGTTTAACTTAAATATACAGAAATTTCTTTCCAGGGCTAATTTTATCAAAAAAAACTCCCCAAAATAGAACATCTAGTATCAGTTGGTTGAAGACTGCTCCAAAGTTTTGCCATTTCTAGTTGCAGCGATAAAATTGTAAGGTTTTATTGTATGTAGGTTTTATTAGTTTCAAGCATAGACTGAGTATTTAATGGTTAACAACACGAACAGTTTATTTGGATATTAAATCTAGAGAACTGGCTTCCGTACGTGCTTTGAATAATAGGGCTGGTTAATTTGGGGTTTAATATTTGAAGCAGTTTAAAAATCAACAACTGAAGTTAATAAGCAAGGGGGAAAATGCTTATTTTAGCCTGTTCTTTCAATTTCTTACATGATTTTCCTTAATTATATTTTCCTTTCTTTCGAAAAGTTTCCTAATGTCCCCGATGGCAAAACAACGTTTCCCTTTCTAATCAAAAGGTCTAATAAGAGATACTGTAACTTGGTACGGCCTCTTCTCTTCTCTTCTCATCTTTTTTCTCCGTCTTATAAACGCATAAACCGAATCGCGAATGAATTATCACTTCTAACTTTTTCCCCCAAGTAGGAGTTGACAGCTCCACCGCTTATTCCTATCGTGCGAGCACAAAAGATATGAACTGATCGAGCCACCACTCAAACAAACGCTCCATTGAAAAACCCTATGTCGAGCACCTTATTCAGATAATGTGATGAAACCTCATATATTATTGACAGGGTTCGCGCTACTTATCCGACACAAATTTCAAGGACTTTTGAAGGACTTTTCAAGGTCCAAAATTATGATTATCAAGGATCGATTTTGTTTGTGAATTTCTTCCTAACAATGCATAGGAACCATACTTTATTTTCAGGCGCCATGTCATCGACGTAAAATGATGGAAAATAGCATATAACAACCTTATTCACGTAGGTAATAAATGGATTTTCAACAAAAATTATGTTACAGTAGATATTTATTGATAATAAATAAGTAACAGTTGCATTTTCAAGGAGTATTTCAGGAGTATCCAGCAACATTGCTATTTTCAAGTGCTTTTCAAGTGCACTTGAAAATGGGTTTTGAATTCCAGGGCTTTTCAAGGATTTCAAGGAGTAGCACGAACCCTGTGTTGATCAACAACCAATTGTTTTCTTCAGCGCAGTATACTTTCTTCACCTTTATAATGGTTTATTTGATTCCTGGATTAACAAGAGAAACCTAAATGTGGCTCGTGGGTTGCTGGTAAAAAGGCCTTTTTTAATATCAGTATTACAATAGTTTATGACGCGATCAACGCAAAGGTCAGACCAGTGATTGGTTATATTCTTTGTCGGAAACATCTAGTTATCAAATTATTTCATCCCATAAGTGATTAAATATTGTTATTGTCTAGTACGTGGAGGAATAAATAATAATATGTGGAAATAATCCTTTCAAAGTGTTCCCGCTTGAATTATGGTAATATATAGATTAAAAAATAAATGTTGGATATTCTCACAGCATTGATGTTTTATCCCTCCTTTCTTCGCCAGTCCTTTAATCGTTCTTTTCTTCCTATTTTTCATTCATTGCGCTTGTTTTGTCACTCGTTCTTTCATGCTATTTAGCTATTTAGCTTATCTAGCTTTTTTGCTATTTAGTCCTTCTCTTCGAACTTTCTTATAACTTTCTTTTTTTACTTCACCGAAAAATGATGTCCTTCCCCCTACTAAATTTGTCAACAAAGTTTTAGCCTAAGTCATGGTACGGTCTGACCATTCCTTGAATCCATATTCGATAACATTTATATTTCTATAGAATATGAATACATTATAGTAATCAAAAACTTATTAAAAGCACTATTCGATTACTTTGAGCTTCAAATGAAAAACCGATAATTTGCATTAGGTAATGTTAGATAACATCTCGAAAAACAAATTATCCAACTATTGACAGTTATTTTTGCCTTTTATGATGTGTAGCTTTTCTTAAGCCTTCTGTCGTTTCTCTGTTTGAAAAAAGTGTGGTGAAACAGAATTTTGATTCTTTCTGGTAATATCTCCGATCGAAGCGTGCTCATAAGTGTTTTGTCTGTCGAGCTGTCGAGCAACGCGTAGGAAAACGTAATATACGCGTAAAGCTACTTCATATAGGTACTTGTGCTAGCGTTGAGACTCTCTCTAAAAGCAGTTGGTCTTTCAAGCAATCAAAAAGCATGGGTTTTCTTTCTCGGGCAGTAAAATAAACGAAGGTTGTGTTGTAAGTTCGTTAGCGCGTCCTGTTGCTCAAAGACTAAACAATTCGAACTAGAAAAACATCACGAGCGAGGCTTAAAGTTATTTCTGCAATCAGGAACTTAGCTAGATTTAACTTTGGAAAAATTAAGAAATGAAATCCTCTCACCTTTATGACTCTTAAYCACTGCCGTGCGAAATATAGCTTGTCAATTCTAGAATTTGATGTATGCTTTGCACGTAAGACAAGTAATGATTTTTTTTTCTTTTTTCAATTCAACGCCGGGCAAATGTATTTAGTAATGCACGATATCAATTTTTAATGCTTGACGTCAGAATTATGTTGGCTGGTATTCCACATCTGATCAAAGTCAAAATTATTGTTGATAGTTTTCTGGAAAACCTCAGAGAAGTACTTTCGTGTGTTTTTACTCAAAGAATTTCATCATTGCATGCTCGGCCCCTAATCATAGTGTTAAGACATTTTTCCAAAACCAGATCATCTGGAGAAAAGTAAAAATTATACAATAAGGCAGCAGGTACTTTCGTGTGTTTTTACTCAAAGAGTTTCATCGATGCCTGATCATTGCATGCTCGGCCCCTAATCATAGTGTTAAGATATTTTTTCCAAAACCAGATCATCTGGAAAAAAGTAAAAATTATACAATAAGGCAGCAGCTTTTCTTAATAAGACAGAATGGGATATTTCATGGATTGTTGCTGTTATTAAAACCACAAAGCAATATAGAGATTAATCATACATGGTCTATTTGAATATGAAAGAATTTTCTAATTAACAAAAAGACGAAAAAAATATTAAATATACGTGCCAGACTTGATTTGTTTTTATTATTTCTAACGASTACATAGCTAATTACTCCCTGGTATTTTGTTAATGTGTTTTTGTTTGTTTTGTTTTCATAACGAAACAACTGAATACTAACTTTATATGCCATCATGGAATTCCGCGAATCTTTTCAAATGTGAAACAATTTTTTCTTCATCTAAACCTCGGACAAAAGAAATGAAAGGTTTCAAGGGCAGGTGCGACGATAACAACATCATTTGTTCGGAGAAATAATCAAAAAAAATAAGAAGACAAAACCCAGAATTTTGAATGGTACTTCGGTTCAGGTGTTGAAATGGTCTTCAATGTCACACGC